AAGAATTGAATAAAAACGGCGCTTCGATTGAAGACATGGACGTCGTCTTCGACCATTTTACTATTCCCGTGAGAATTTTTGACATCATTGGGAATTGCATTTACAAAACAGAACACGTCAATAAAAAGATTAGAGCCTTTTACGGTCTTGTTAAGAATAACCATATTTACGTTATGAGTTTTAATTTATCCAGCTTACAACAACATAAGGCAAGAAATTACATGAATTTAAAGGTGAGAGCCCCAATTGATTTTCATTTAAACAAGTCCGAAGAACCAAGCGAATATATAATCTTCGATAAGATTGATGACATTCTTAAACTTCATCAACCAACAGAAGAAGAAATCAAAAGCAAAAAACCACAAAAGGATGCTTCGGCAGAAGCCTCGCAAACTTCGCAGAAGCTTCGTGACAAGGAATATAAACTCGCTCATTCAAAAAACGATTTAATCGGTGTGTTATGCGATTTAGTGGAATCGGGTTATGAACGTAAAATAAGATATGAAGCAGGAACAATAAGCCAAATAAAGTTAAGACTTGAAAAGAAAACGTATATAATAGCTACACAAAATTTTGTCCCTTCTTCAACAGACGGAAGCGTTAGAGTCAAATGCGAAACAACATTCAACAATATGAACAAAGCGATGTTTAAATGGAATAAGGCTTTGTTTAATCCTTTGCATAAATCCTTTTATACAGATACTGACATTGATGTATTAGACGAATACCGAACCATCGTCCCAAGTGGTAAGATTCAAGACACATACCGACACATCGAATGTCGCGAAAAGTTCAACCAAATGACGGGCAAAGTTGAAAATCAAGAATATCACAATTTAATAGAAGCTTCGCATAAGAATGCATGCGAGATAGATATGTCAAAAGCATTTACACATGCCCTAACAAAAATGAAAAAATACAAGTATTTAACCTATTTGACAAATGGGTAAAAAACAATGGTGAAGAAATTGAGGATTCAGTCTTATACACTGTGGAAGTGTATAAGGCCAATCCGTTCTTCAACTAGCGGTTCTGCCTTTGTTACGGAAAGTTTCTAAAAAATGTTCTGAATGATGGTATCATCATTAAATATTATCAGAAGCCTTCCTTTATATATAATTGTGATTATAAAAAGATTGTTAAGGAGTTAGTAGAAACCCATATATCAGATGATACACAAGAAGACACCAAACTAAAAAAACAAATAGCAAATGTGAATATAGGCTTATTAGAAAAGGGAGTAACAACAGCGCAGAAATCAGTTTTATTCAAGGACTTGCGTGAAGCTCAGTTGTATCAGCATATGTATGGTGGTCGGATTAATATTATTAAGCAATTCGAGAAAGAAGAAGAAGATGATGATGATAGCGATAGCGATAGCGATTATGATAGTGATAATGAAGAAAAAGCGCCAGATGAAGATACAAAAAACAAAGGAAAGTATTATGTTCTAAATGTTGCAGACAGCGCCGTCTTAAAAAATGGTTATCGTTACATCAAGGAACTTTTACTTCAATACCATAATTACAGAATATACAAGGATTTTAGCACACTACGAGAAAATGACATAGATGTCTTTAGCGTTAAAACAGATGCATTTACAATATTAAGGAAGGACTTACAAAAAGCCATGAAGTTACTGAAGTTTGGTAAAGACATTGGTGATTGGAAAGGCTTTTTAAATAACTTCGGCTTCCCCCATCAACAATATGAGATGAAAAAGAACGAACCGATAGAAATACCCGAAGTTGTCAATGAAAGAATTATGTTAAGAGACGAATGGGATAGTAAAGAAGCAGTTGAAAAAGTTCTTGAACATAAGCATGTATTAGTTAAAGCCCTTTTCGCAGGGTCGGGTAAGCCACATATACCGAAGCAGATACAAGATAAAAAAAAAATATTGTTCGTACCACCCACGAATAATTTAAATCAAGAATGCGGCATGCACGCAGAAACCATTAATACATTCTTTTCTATCCAAGTCGGCGAAGAAAAACTGAAAGACTTCGATTATTCTTTTAATGATGTTATCGTTTTTGACGAAATTTATTTTAACAGTATTCCCGTTTTAGCAAGAATAAAAACGTTTGTAGAAAAGAACCCCGACAAAATTATCGTAGCAACGGGAGACGAGCACCAATTACAAGGCGTTGTGGATATAACTAACACACAAGATTATAGGACATACTTAGACAGTTGTATAAAACAAATTTCTAAACATTACATTTATTTAGAAGAATGCAACAGACTAACCAACGAAGAAGACAGAATCAAATTAAAAAGCATTTATCACGATATTAATTTTAAATCGGACATGACAATTAAACAGATTATTGAGAAATATTTTAAGTACACAGAAGAGATAGAACTCATTGTTAATAACGTAGCATACACCGACGAAACATGTAGAAAAGTATCGCAACATATTAGAAAAGAAAGAGGTATAAACGATCAATATGTCGTAGGCGATGAAGTTATTTGTCGTGTTTATACGAGATACTGGATGTCTAAATTTAATGTTAATCTTAAGTTCAGAATAACGGAAATAAAAAAGAATATGGTAACGCTTGAAAACGTGGCTACAAGGTTACAACAAGAAACAAGAAATTAATCTAAAGAAGTTGAGACAAAATTTTATTTATGCTCCATGTTACACATGCCATAGTAAACAAGGTTGTTCAATCGATGGCGATGTTATTATTTACGATTGGATGTATACTTACGTTTCTAAAGAGTGGTTGTATACCGCGATCACAAGAGCCAAGGATTTAAACAGAATCAGGTTTTACAAACACGAGATAACAAGAGACATTAAACAGTCCGAGATTGAGAAGTATTTTAACCAAAAGGTTAAACAATATAAATCGCAAGATATAGAAGCAGGGCGTTCAATAAATGAAGAGGACTACGTAAATATTGAGTGGCTCATGAGTCAATTAAAAAACAGATGCACCAACTGCAACCAACCCTTTATAGTTGAAATGGATGGTCATACACTCACTACCAATTTATCGGCCAATAGGCTCAACAATGACAAGGCGCATTATATAAGCAACTGTAATAGCTTATGTGTTATGTGTAATTGTTGCGCAAGGTGAAAAGGGTTGAAAAGAATGGTTGTATTAGGTATATAGTGGTATGAATAGGTATGAGAATGGAAAATTATACAAAATTGTGGATGTTGGATATAGCAAATGCTACATAGTTACATAGGTAGCACAACCGAAAAGTTAAGCAAACGGATTGAAAGACATAGAGTTTGCTATAAATCTTGGAACAAAGGCACTTCTGGTAAAATGCGCTCTTTTGATTTATTTGATGAGTTCGGTGCTGGAATTGAAAAATAGAGCGCATAGAGGCATTTCCTTGTAATTCAAAGGAAGAACTACTCCAACGAGAGGGTTACCACATCCAGAATAATGAATGTGTGAATAGATGCATTGCAGGTAGAACACGTGTAGAATATGCAAAAATGTATAGGGAAGAAAACCCGATAAGGTAAAGGAAACCAAAAAGGAATGGTATGCCAACAACAAGGACAAAGCAATTGAAAAAACTAAAAAATGGTATCAAGAGAACAAAACCCATGTATACGAACGAGTCAAAGAATACAGAATTGCCAACAAAGAAGAATGCACAAAAACGAGAGTATTATGAACGGAAGAAGGACGACATAAACCAACGAACACGCATGTGGGCATCTGAAAAAGTTTATTGCGAATGTGGGGTTGAATGCAGGAAAGATTGGCTAAGCAAACACAGGAAAAGCAAGGGACATATGAGGTGGGTTGAATTTCAAAAAATTGCGGATACAAATACCGAACAAGAAAATTAAAATATCATCTTTATTAATATGAGTAGTAATAATAAAGATGATATTATACCTAGTATATACTATGACAGAAGTGGGTATGGGAGCATACACACCACTTTTAAAGACGCCAAGCAAAAAGACAAAACGATAACGCTACAAAATGCCAGAGACTGGTTTTCAAAGAACATTGAGAGAAAGAAACCACTGTCCGGATACAATAGCTTTGTCGCTCCTCATAGTTTCTATGAGTTCCAAATCGACTTATTTTTTATTACAAACAATGATTTGGATAATCAGAAGTTTAGAACTGGTTTCGTTATGATTGACATATTTAGCAAATTTGCGCTTGCAATTCCGACTAAAAGTAAGCAACCACCCGATTTACTAGCGGGTATAATGGAAGGGATAAACAAAATGGGCAAGAAACCGAAGATGTTTTATAGCGACGAAGAAGGTAGTTTATACAGCAAGACAATTATAGAGTATTTAGAACAAGAGGAAATAGAAGTGCACAGAACAAGAGGACATCCAGCCTTCGCTGAAAGGTTTGTCCACAGTTTTAAAGACATGCTGTTCAAGCGAGTTGAAGCAGATGAAAAGAAAGGAAAAGCTAACATACAATGGACTGATTACATATTAGAAATTCTACTTACATATAACAACAAAAATGTCCATTCTACTACTAAATTCACACCGTCCGAAGCGAAAAAGCCAAAAAATGAATTTTAAGTTAAATTGAACATATCTTTACAAGCGAAGAAATCCCGTGTATATCCCGAGATAGAGGCAGGAGATAGTGTAAAAATAATGCGTAAGAAGGGCATAGGTGAAAAGGAACGCACTTCGCATTGGTTGAAAACCCCCCAAACAGTAAAACGAATTGATAAGAAATTAGGGCAAAACTATTACTATTTGGATGATGATAAGAGGGGTTATTTGAGGCACGAGTTATTAAAGGTGTAAGTCTTGTTCATGCTGATATGTTGTTGTCTTTTGCTCAATGAGATCAGACTATGTTGCAGGCTCGAATGCTAATGTATCCTTCATCACAGGCATGATACAGTGTCCAAGCACATCACTTCCCGTTGTACATTAATTCAGCCATGGCCGCTGCAATCACGAGCACGAAGAAGCGGAAACTGTCAGAAGTACAACCTGAAGAGGTGCAAGCTGGGTTCGGGAACAAATGTGTGATTTGGGTTATGATGAAGGCGTCTCAGACAAGATGGCCGCGGCGCTCTCATTTTACAGACCTTCGGCCTTGGCGGAGGCTGCCCGAGAGAGTTTGCTGGGTGCGCTGCAACAGACATTCCCAAATGATGTACAGCGGGTGATCATGGCCCAGAGCCTTTATGACCGTATCCAGAAGCATATTGCCCAACCACAACCCGTTTCTTGGCAAAGGTTAGTTTTAGTCGTAGCCCGAGTTTGTTGTGTCTTGTTACTTTAATATGTGAAGCAGAGTGAAGCAGGGTTTATGTTTCTGTGGTTGCTTTGCTAGGTTTCAGGTTCAGAGCGATGTTTCCGAGAATGTCAAGGCCTTCGCACACGCTTTGGATGATGCACAGCTGGAAGGGCAAATTCTGAAAACGGAAACGGGCAGTTTCAAGTTAGAGCAGGACTCTGAAATTTGGGACGAGACGAAGTTCTACGTGCGGGGATGCTACACAGAAATTGCCGACATCATGTTGAAAACAAAGCCTCATAGGATGTCTTTGCTCGGCTCATCAGGTATCGGCAAGTCCAATTTTATGGTATATTTAATCTGGCGTCGCTTCCAAGACGATAAGCTTAAAGAGTTCCCTGTTTTTCTGCACCAGAGGGACATCATCCATCGGATTCAGAAGGGTGAAGAGCCAAAGAAGGTCGATGCTGCTACTTTGTATTCAGCCCCTCAACAAGCTTTGCATATCATGGATGCCGACATTGATGTGGAACATGGGGTCTCTTGCCAGTCTTTGTGGATTACATCTGCGCGGAGGCCCGAGACCCCAGCTTCGAACCTTCCGAAGTGAAGTGGAGCAGCGCGCTCGTGACCAAAATGAGGGAGTCCGACATCCCCCAGTTCAGGGTTAAGGTCTTTTGGGTTTTCTCTATTAGGGTCTTACCCCACACCTCATATTAGGATATTGGCTATTTTATGGATAAGGTTCTGATCGTTTAGGTGCTTTGGGTTTTGAGTCGTGCTATGGATAGTTGTGTTGGTTTGGTAGGTTGCTTTGTTTCGGGATTATTGTATTTGTTTTTGGGTGGTGATTTGTGTATTGGTGGGGTGGGTTTCCCTTGGTGAAGATAGGGGTTTCTTGGTTCAAGATAGGGGGTTTCTTGAGTCAACATAGGGGGCTTCTTGAGTCAAGTTCTGGGGCTTCTTGATTCAAGATAAGGGGTCTCCTTGAGCTGGGCATCACTATGTTTTCATAAGAGACACCTTGCCCCAGTTATGCTTATTGTTATTCTTGGGCTTAGGGCTTATGGGTTAATCGTATTGAAGGGTTTGGGATTTGGGGTTTACGGCTTGGGTTTTGGGCTAAGGAATAACGGGGATGTATGGGGGAAGGTGTTTTTTCCGGGTTTAGGCTTGGGATTTCCGGAATATGGGTTTTCGGGGATTTATGGGGGAAGGTTTTTTTCTGGGTTTAGGCTTGGGATTTCCGGAATATGGGTTTTCGGGGATTTGGGCTTGGGTTTTACGGGTTGATATTTGGCATATGGGTATAACGGGGTTTTGGGAATATGGTTTCGGGGATTTTAGGCTTGATATTTGGCATATGGGAATAACGGGGTTTTGGGAATATGGGTTTCGGGGATTTTAGGCTTGATATTTGTGCTCGGGTTTGGCCAAATGGTTCCATATTTTTTTGGGGCAAGGTGTCTCCTAACTAGGCTCCCCCAAAGACTTGACAGTATATGTAACGGGCACAGACACCCGGTCTGACTTTTCAGGCCTTGTCATTTGCACAGCATGTCGTTTGCATTCGTCTGCTCGCGTGGCGTCTTGCTGAGTGTTCTGGGTCTCTCTGCGGCCACCTCTTCCTGCGAGAGGGATGGCCCCGTATGGTCGTCCAGAAAGGTCTGTTGCGAAGCATGCAAGGCTTCTGTGGTCTAGTGATGCAGGCTCTCTGTGCAAACCCAATAATTACCCCGAAACCGTAAGCCTCAAACCCTGAACCTCCAAAACCATCAGCCAGAGTGGACCCTCAGCAAGAGAAAAAACGGAGCGATGGTTGTTCGGATTTTCCCAAGGCTACACCACAGCCGGTGGCACTTTCGATCAGCAGCGGCCTCGATGTGTGCACCCATACCAAGGTATAGTTGTGCGTACGTTCATGCTCATTTGGTTCGGCAGTTACTTCCAGAGTACTTGAGTGCATTGTTACATGGGCCGACACATAGACGTGCCTACCCTTCAGTGCACGCTTGTGCTTGCGTTCATGTTTGATGTATACCGACAGGCAGACAGACAGATAAATAGACTGACAGAGACACACAGAGACACACACACACAGAGGCCGAACCACTGGCATAATATGCACCCAGCATACATGCGCGTACATGCAAGGATACACATTGGCATAGACACAGAAGCGCATCCGTGGTGCCGAACCCTCAAGATGACTAGCCCCTTAGAGCTCGATGCATATCCCTCGACCCCAAACCCCAAGCCCAAAAGCAGTGCGTCTCCCCCCAATAGGGCGCTCTATAGATGGTCAAACTCCCACATCCTACTACATAGGCTCCAACATCCCCCAACACTACTATCCTCTCCCGCCAGCCCCCAGACCGTAAAAGGAAGGAGCCTGTTTAAGGTCTTAGCTTAAAGGGGTCCCCTCAACCCATCCCTGGGCGGTTATGAGCCCTAAATGCCCCCTAAACCCCTCGAGCCCTAAACTTCCTTAGTCCCTGTCCCACAGCAGGGAATCTTTCCAGGCCGGCATCCTTCGATCAGTCCTGGCAGCAGAACTACTCACAAGAGGGCTGGCAAAGCTGGCACGGTCTAAGTGCTTTCTGTTTCCATTTTTTCGGTGGGTTAGGATCTACAAGTAGGGCTTTCAAGGTTCAGGGTTTGGTGTTTCGGTTTTAGGACTTAGGGCTTAGCTTTCTGGCTTGATGATTTGAGGGTTCTGGGTTAAGATTGGGGACAGTGCTCACAGTCTTGGAGATGGAGCTTTGGAAGCAGGATTCTGTTAGGGCTTACGGTGTGCAGTGCTTTGCTTTTGTCGGCTTTAGTTCTAGCGCCTGGGGGTTTGGGCTTTGGCCGTAGACCTGCTGCCTTTTGAGAGGTCAAAGGGGACAAGGAGGGACCCTTAATGGAGACCCGTACCCTATAATGAGCTGTATAATGGGTATATAATAGATATATTAAGGGTATATACCTAGGGTCCTTATTAAGGGTCTTTCGTTTTTCTCTTTGAAGAGGGGCTCTGCAGGATGAGTTGTCGGGGTTTTTGGTCGTTCAGGGTGTGGGGTTGGCTCGCCCCGGTGCCCCGGTCTGGGAAATTAAGGAATACACCGTAAATTATGGACTTAAGGAATATTCCTTCATTACGGGATGTTGGAGTCTCTGGGTTCTCCACTATCACCTTGATAATCAGGGTATCCTTACGGCCGGAGCTGACACTGAGTTCAGAACTCGATTGAGGCTTTGGGGTTTTGGAGTTTCAGCTTCGGGGTGTCAGGGCGCATGATTTAAGGTTTTGCTCCATTTCATGCCCAACAACCCTGGATCCCACTTGACATGCTCAACTTGGCCTGACACTCTTCGGAGTTCGAGAGGACCACTTAAGTGGTCCTGCTGCTGCGCCAAAGCCGGGTAGGGTGCGACATGAGTTGGGGTAAACCTTAGGGGTACTTAGAAATATTTTTATTTTTTGGTTATTATAATCCCTAAGAAACAGCTAAAATTACAATTTTTGCTAGGGTTCTAAGTTCAGTATAGAAACGGTGTGGAGTCTGAAAGTGATGAGGGCCAGGAGGAACAAACCAGAGATCAGTGGCACGGTGCTTGGTCCAAATACGGAACTGCTTGTTGCTCCCAACTTGTATCTTTAGATGTCCTGGACCCTAAACCCATAGCTCATAAACCCTCGATCAACCTTGTGTGAGCGGCAAATTCGCCCATGGGTGGTTGTCAAAATTATGGTCCTTCTTTGGGTCCCCATTATAATACGGTACCCTAGTATTCAGGGTACCCCCAAAAAGGGACCCAAAAAGGGACCCTAATTTTGACAACCACCCACATGTGTTTTCCGCGGCCACAGCCCGGCTCTGCTCCGAAAGTTTCAGAACGCCTCACCGCCCCCTCTTCGCCTCTCCGTCATCATGTTCGGCGTCTTTGTTTGCACTCTTGCCGGTTTGGGAGTTCAGGTATTTAAGAATCTCTACACAAGAAGAATCTGAAGAGTTTTGAGGGTGATTATTGGCGTTTTGTTTAGGATTTGGAGGTCAAGGGTTTCCTCTTTCAACTGTTTGGGGACACGGGTCCTCGGGACTACCGGTCTAGTGCGTGAGGGTTTAGGGTTCAGGGGCGTAAACTACCCGTGCTACCCCCCTGAGCAACAAAATAGATAGCGGAATTGGAAACTAAAGCAAAAACTGTGTTTGCTAGAGCCCATTTGTGCTGTGTCCGACTGCAAAATCCAGCATCCCCGGCATCGATATTCCAGGGGAGCACTTCGAGGAAAGGCTCTCTAGACTCTCAAACTGCTCAACTCCTAAGCCCAGAATCTATAACCCTAAACCCGATCCTCAACGTCTTCAGGCCTTTTACCTGTCTAATACCCTTGATATCCTAGGTAGGCCGTTGGGACATCCTTCATTTTCCTTATTGGTCCTGAGTCCTAAGAGGATCTTATTTACGAACATGTTGAAAAGGCGTTGAAGGGCCAAGCTAGTATCATGATGACAGGCGCTAGGGGTGTCAGAGCTTTAGGAGCTTCCAGAGATTTATGGGGTGGTGTCGGATGGTGTTGTAGGGTCAAAGCTCGTGCGATGTAGCAACTTGGGTGATCATTGAGCTATGCTGCTATGATCAGTATTTAATAATAGCAGCAATATTAATTAGAAAATGAGAAACAATAATACTGATAATGCCTCGTAGCCACCTTTGCCCAGTTCATTTGGTGTCCGGTAAGCCCCGAGACCTTCGAATGTTGTACTCTTACTCTCTATATCGGGTTCACGCATTGGCACAGCGAGCCAAGGCTCTGGACTTTACGGTTCGGGTTCTTGTTGTGGGTTACGACTAGCGGTGGTCATGCTGTGAACATAATCCTCAACCTGAAGCAGTTAGCAGAACGCACTTAGGCCAAACTTCGTAGTAGTGCAGGGAACCTTTCACTTTCTGTTCGGGGGGATAATCCCTTTGTCATCCCTCAGGTTAATCTTTTGCTCTTCCAGTAGACAAAGCAACGTCTACTGTAGGAACCTGATTAAGAAACCCTGGGCGTATAACCCCTAAAATAGTAGGATTCAGTTAAGGAGCCCTAACAAAAGGCCCAAGGTTTCTTAATCAGGTTCCTACATTACTTGATGCGAGGGTCAATCCAAGCCCCTAATTCTGTTGTGGGATTGTTCACATGGTTGGTTGTCAAAACTATGGACCCTTCTTGGGTACCCTAAATATTAGGTGCCACATTATAGTAAGGACCCAAAAGGGACCCTGATTTTGACAACCACCCACATGGATCCCAAACCTCTGCCTCGACCCTCCCGTACAACGGGTACCTGTAGAACGGGTTGCTTGAACCCTCCCCCCATTAAAAAAGAATCACTAACATGTTTAGGGGCTTTGAAAAAGAAGTCACCATGTTATTATTATTGTTATTATTATTATTATTCTTATTCTTATTATTATTTTTTAAAGAACCAGACAGGCAGGTTTTGGGTTCAGTAGTCTCTAGGTGCCACAGAAGCGCTTACTCAATCTGAATAGTGGGCATTTTAGCCTGCAAAGCGTCAGTAGACCCTAAAATCAAGCCCATAGAGTATGCGTAAAACCTAGCAGAACACTTGTAATCACCCTTTACAAAAACCGTTTTAGACAAGAAACTCATCACCGTACTTCAGGGGGGGGAGCCGGGGTCTCAGTTCGACAGCTTCAGGTGGTGGCATGTCGTTCTCTCAGGGAGGAGGATCTCCGGAGAAGCTTTGAGCTCAGCGATTGGTTGAGGGTTCGTTTCATTGGTAAAATCACCGTAGAAGCCTGAGTAGTTTTGAATTATTCCGCCGCAGGGTTTCTCTCAAACTTATACACAAGAAAGCCCTTTCCTAATTAGGGCCCTAAGTATGACGGTTCAGGGTTGAGGGTGGTTTGACAGCTTCATCTGTGTTTGCAGAGGTTAGTTATGTACGAGTTAGAAGCTGCCCCACCCTGTAATAGTGACTATATTAGGGTTATGTTCCTATTATATTCCTATTATACCACTATTTCAGGGTGGGGGCCCCTCCTAATGTACGAGGTTCCATCGGGTTTTCGGAGGCTTAGGCTTTGGATAATTCGGCTAAGCGTTTCTGGTGCTCAGGGGTGTGGGTTAAGGGTTGTAGGGTGCATCTTTTTGGGGGGGATCCTTATCATAGTTATAGTATAATGGGCCCCGAAACTCTATTCTAATTATTAAGGCCCTTATAATATACTACCCTTATAGTATCCCTTAAACTCCCAATCCAAGCCTCAGCCCCGACGATTGAGGATTGGCTCGTCAATGGCTCAAAGACGGAGTTCTAGAAATATCGGCGACAGCAATATGAGTAAAGACGAGACAGTGGGATGCTTAAAGCAAGGAGGCCCGCTCAATGGTTGAGAGTTATATAAGAGGCTTTGGGCTAAGGGCTTCCCCCATATTTAGAACCCCCATGCCCGATAATGAGAAACACCCAGAAATTGCAAAGATTTTTAGCGCCCCTGAGGCCTCAGAAGCGGGCAGACGACCGAACGCACCACCGCCGAGTTTCGGATTCGGCTGGGGGTTTCTATACTTGGGGGGGGGGGGTGAGCCGATACACCCACAAGGAAATGCTCCTTGTTAGGAGGTGTATGACCAGTTTATTCCCTAAGGATCAAAGGGCAGCGCCCTGCACACGGACAGTAGTTGTTTTGTCTTGCTACGCAAGGAGAGCTTGTCTTGTCTCAATATGGTAAAACCACTGTGAGCCAATGGGCAGCGGAATGTATATGTATGAGCATGCAGCCATTGCTGTAGGTACCTGTTAGAGCTACCCCTTTAGAGGTTTACGCAAACAAACAGACACTAATTTTCTTTTACCGGAAGCATGGCCGCACATTCACACATATACTATTATGCCCACTGTCACAGTTGCGGAGTTTGGACTCATGATAAAAACAGCATATTGTTTATGCTAGGTATAGCACTGAAGTACACTGTTGAGGTCACTCCTTTTGCACACACTCATGCATGTTGGTCAGAGAGATCATCTGTACAAGATCAGGTCTGGTAATGTTCTTCTACCGAATTATGCAGCCCTTCATTGTGCTCTTGTTAGAGCTTTGTGAGTCACTGTTGTGAAACTCTGAGAATTTTCTTATCTCAGATTCGGATCCAGGTTTGGATCATAGGCTCGAGCATAGACGTTCGGATGTGGTTCATCCGGGTCTGAGTGATCTTCTTCGGAACTTGAAAAGATTCCGAGTAATCTGTTCTCAGCCCTGGTGAAGGCGGCGTCTGCAGTGTCATATCCATGGTTGGATGTAGTCGCCTTTGGCTCGGCCTTTGGTGCAGCTTGTGAGCTGATTGGAGTTGCCTCGGCTTTAGCCGGTTGTGGCTGCTTAGCCTTTGCCCGTTCGGCCCTTCTTCTTTCAAGCTGTCCGTCTGAGGACGCCCATGATCTTTCACTTTCATCTCCTGAAGGAGATAAGGCGTGGGCATGAAGGCTGTTCCAGTACTGTGCTGCAGAAGGAGTTAGGACTTCTTCATGGTCAGATTCTGACTGGTCTTCCTCAGAGCTTTGGTCGTCAAAAAGTG